TTTGACAATTATATGAAATGATTTATCTAAAAATGCTATATTTAACCTTTAGAAAAAATCTGAAGGCTGCTTTAAGAGTTAAGTGAATCATCATTTTTATTTTTTAATCTTTGAACTATAACTTTCTTTTCTTCTATTCATCTGTCAAATAAAAGTCTTGAAAATGTAACTGTTGTCCTTATTTATTTCCCCAAATCCCTTATTATTTGTGCATCAAGGTTCAGTTAAAATATTTTAATTCTTTATTTTCAGTAAAAATTATCTATGTTGCTGTTGTTTTTTCATTCTTGCAAAGGTTTAAAACAAGAGAGTTTTGATAACCCTGAATGGCTCACCTGAGATTCATTGCTATGTAAAAAATTCTTCATTGCAGAAGTAGGTCATTGAGTTACATTCAAAATTATCCAAGGTAAAACCCTGATATCACATGCCAATTTTGATTCTCACCTGTCAATCTTTTAATGATAAGTGTTTGAAAATATGAAAGTTGAAAGGGTGTCTGTGGCCCGTTGGTTAAGGTCCTTGACTTCAAACCACTTACCATTTGTGGGTTCTCCCACCACATACTTTTGAATTCTTTAAGGGAGTATGGTAAGCTTTAACGTACAGCTCTGGAACATTATTGGTCCAGGTGCCTGCTTGTGCCTGAAATAATGCATGGAGGGGCACCATAGGTCTTGCTCTACCAGTAAAGCTAGAAAAGGCACCATATGACCTTCACTTTACTGTCACATAATGGTGCATGGCAAAACAAAGCATATTTATAACCTGTAAACAATGTATAACAAATATCTTGTGACCAAAAATTTAGATTATTCAGTTGCAAGTCAGCAGAAAAATGATGCAGGACACAGTACAAAGATCTTATAATTTCAAATCAAACCTTTAAATTGTAACTTAATTAGTATATTTAACATAATTATACTTTATTAATAGTAAAACAAAATGACCTAAAAATACATGTAATTAACATGACCTTTTCGAGAAGCATAGGTAGTATAAAGAATGCAAACAAAGATACTTATTACAATTAGATTAATGGAAATAAAATTAACACAAAATTTTAGACATTAAAAAATATTTCAAAAACTAATATACTAGTTCACAATTCATTTTCAGTATGTATAATGATCATACAAATGAAATCTGATAATCTTTTGATTAGTATTATTTCAAAATGCCATCCAGTGCTCTCAACAAGTCTCGTAGAGTATGAACTTTGCTGTAAATCTAAACATATATGTTGTCAGAAAATATTTCTCAGTAAAAATTTGTCGCAATCTGAATATCTGCCAGAAAAAAATATAATGCTGAAGTTTATCTGGAACAGGAGAAAAATTGAGTAAAAAACGGCTACATTTGTATCACTGACTCAAGTTCATATTTTCCATGATTAAAACAACAGTTTAAATTTTACACATAACAATTTGTTAGTTCTGTCCTGCACTAAATTTGATATGTGAAAAAAACTTGAAAATTAAACCCGAACTTTTAACACTATGAAACCAATAAGTCCTATACAAATTCATGTTTATATGCAAGCAGGGTCTTTCAAAAATAGGGGTGTCACTTTATTTATGAAATTCTTGTAAAAAGTAATTATATTTTCCAAATCTGAAGATAAATGAAAATATTGCAGTAAGCATTGTACCTTGTCAAAGTAAAGATGTGCAATGTATGGAAACATAAACGTGTTATAATAAGAGACGAAATGTGTTAAGATATAATAAAAAAACTTACAACATATGTTAAATGGCAGATATGACCTTCCATACACTTAGTAATTATGTAGACATTCATTTACTTTATTCGTGAAAGAAGACAAATATATGATTTTTATTGTGGTATGTACCAGAAAATGTATTTTGGCAAACTTCTCATGGTGATTACCTCCCTTGGTAGATTGTAAAAATGATATTATAAATATTAAGTTTTCTGAGTGTTGCAATTTTTTCTTTTAAATGAAAATATCCCTAGAAATCTATTATCCCTCATTTTTATGTTATCAATTGGTTATTCGCTGAAAAAATATGTTGTATAGACCTTGCGGAAGAAATATATTTAGTGTTGTTTAACCTCTTACTCCGCGTTTTTCATTTATTTTCCGCGTTACGAGTGTGCTATCGTATTTGTTATGATAGCAACTTCCGGTCCAGAAAAACTTTTCAGCGCGCGATTCACAGAAAATAGTGTGTGAAATCCCTATGTTGCTTTAATTCAGTTATTCTTGCTGAGGTAAGTTAAGCAAATAAATAAGGGCAAACATGTCTACATGGACACTCTTTCAAGTGCACATAACCTGTGTTTATTTGGCAAGCGTGAATGTTTACCAAGGCATGCCTCATCAGTTGCTGCCCTTGCTTTGCACAATTTGTCTTGTTTTGTTGCAGTTCACCAATGTTTTGAACAGGCATTTAGCTATCTTAATTGAATTATGGTATTTTAACAGATTGAAAGTTATTAAAATTCATCTTTTCGACCTTTTTATAAGTTTAAGGGCTTAAACAATTTAATAACAAACTGATCAAGTAGACACACTTCCATTAAATATAGTCATATAAAATAATATAGCCTTATAAAATAATAAATAGATGTTGCTTTTAGATATTGTTACCTCTTGGAAAAGCAATGTGATATCGAACATGCTTTTAAACCCATAGAATGGTCCGTAAGAAAATCTTGCACTACAGAAAGATAAAACACATGAGGTTTATGTGGCAGCGTTTTCTGTACACATCAATTTTGAGCTGTTCATAAACAAAAGTTAAAAAGAAATTCATTTAAATGAAATAGAGAAATTGTCACATCTGAAAATTTATGTGTTAATTAAATTCCTTATAGAGCTGAAAAATAAATGGCTGTCACACAGTGCATAAAAATTAAAATATGATTGGCTTAATTTTATGCAAGTCAAAAGTTTCAAACAAATTTAAACAAAAATATTTTCCATGCACTGTCAGCTGTCATTATTTTAGCCTGTCTTTGGACGGTGGTTGGTTGATTTGAGCCCAAAGGGATGGTCTGATACGCTGAAGACATTCTACATCACCAAATATGGGCAGGTACCGAATCACTGATTGAAACAGTCTGTTTTGGATTTAATGTTTTCGGTGAAATGATTTCTCTTTGATCTGGGATGTGACTGTTTCTATTAAGATAATTGTTAAAATGGTGAAAAATTGGAACTTTAACTATGGAAATGAATTAAAAATATTGTTGTTGTTGTGGTTTTTGCCAACTTTTTTAATTCTCTTTTTAGATTTGAGCAGGCTCAAAAAAGTTTGAAACATACAACTTTCTTAATGACAGCCCTGATAATGTATATGGTGTGATTGTCTAACTAATTAACTATGTAAATATCATACGGACAAATTAAAAAATTCTTCACATAAAAACGGACAAGTAAGTCAAAATCAGATTTTGCCAACCCTGATCAAGGAATGCTGCATACTTTTTCACTATCCTGTTAATTAGTCAATTTAGTGTCAGTCCCTTCTGGTGCATAATATATGCCATATAATGGCCTATATAAAACGTGACAAATTGATTCCTTTAAGCTTGTAACCTGGCCTTTAATTTGGTGATTTGATAATGAGTAATAATAATGTAGAGTAAAATACCAAGGTAAAGGGTCAACTCGGCCCTATACCAACTCAGCACAGGTTCAACATAGCACGGGTCAACTTGGACCTCTTATAAAAACTGTTAAGGATATAAAATGATCAGTTAATACAGGGATTTACCAGACGCAGGATCCTGCTTCATACACGCATAAAATGCCATCCTGTATGCACAAAAAATAAATTCTGCGTACACATGGACACAGAAAATTTTTCTAAAGTAACTGTCATTTCCATATTTAAAAATAAATACTTAGTACCGTGACCACACAAAAATTGGTTCTTTCCGTATTTTTACTATATCTAAAATGTTTTGGTTAGCGTAGAAGGTCATGGGAATCACCATTTGGTATTTATAATAACGTGTCAGTTAATTGGCTAGTTAATGTCCACATTTAAAAATACCGACCAATCATTAGTATCTATGAAAGTACTTTCGGTTTAAACGATGGCAAAACAGGCTGACTTAAGACGTTTTTGGGAGGGGGTGGTTCGAAACAAAAATGAGATGACAATGAGCCTGTCTCGTCGCCTGTAACTGAAGTGAGTACATCATACATGTACTAGCAATTCATAAAACAGAAACAAGACACATCATTCCGGCCTGTCTGGTTAGATAAACAAGTGATTAGAGCTATGGTACGAACAAAAGTTTCTAGTCAAAACATTAAAAAACTGTTTTTTGTTTGAGAAATAAATCTAATAGTTTACAATATAGTCATTTATACTGCAATCTGTAGGGATTTATCAACCCTTTTTATATCAGGGGTCCATTGGACACAGGATCTATAAAAACAGGGGTCCACCACAAAATTTTGGGGGTTCACTCCAAGACAACTTTCGAAAGAAGAATTACACTTGATATCTGTATGTATTGCTACTAAAATGAATTAGGTATTTTTGTTATAATAATTTATTAGAGAGATCTGAAACCTCAGTTTAGAACATCGTCAATGGAGTAGCGTTAATTATAATTCTTAGACAACCCTCATTTTTACCTAGATTTTCAATTAGTAATACCTAACAATATTGATTTAATTAGTAAAGTTTACAAAGAAAATGGAACAGTAATTACTGTAAATAGAAAGTTCTGGTTTTTTATGATTTAAAATAAAAATATCAGTTATCATGCCTTTTTCCAGTGTTAGTCACCACGGGTCAGGTTATCAGAATGTATTGCCATGTATCAATACCTAGATAAGATTTGTTTGGCAACATTGGACCATTACTACTAAATATATCTGTACAAAAGCTATATTTACTAAGAATATGACATTGTTATACAGAATATCATACTTTTGGTTTAAGCATATTTATTTTAGCTTGATTGCGAAAGAAGTTATTGCAACTTATATTAATCACTTTCCAGTAAGCTTCCTGGAACTAACCAGGCAACCAGTACTGGTATCTTATGAAGAAACATGGTCATGACCCGATTTGGGCTCGAACCCATGATCCCTGGGTAGACACCTTAACCATTAGGCCACCGCTCACCTTTTATCATACTTTTAAGTGTATGTATGTATCTTAAATCCAAGTAAGTTTGAAAAGTATCCAAATGACCTTTGATTATTGTTTTGATGAGTGATTCAGTGAGTAATTGATCAGTCAAAAAAATGTTTTAAAGATGACAAGTTGTCAGTCTTATTTGTAACTTTGTTTGTGGAAGTAACAGTTAAATAGTGACTATGAATATAAAACGAAGACATAAAAGCTGTGAAGAAACAGAAGCACAACAAGGATTAGATAATGTTTCCCTATGTTATTTATTAGAAGCAGATGCAGAAAATTGAAAAGAATGATTTTAAATCGGTTGTCAAAGTTACAAACTGCAGTCTGGGGATAAATTATGCATAATGATTATTGCAAACTTTTCCTCAGCCTCTTTTTGAAGTTGAGTATTGATTTTAGCCTTGTAAGGCAGCTGTTATAGTGGTACTACCGTATATAACATGCTATTGAGTGACGCACACTTGTCTGTTTTCGGTATTGATTTTAGATATTGGTTTTTTTTATATCAGTTATAAATATTAAATGAAAATAAAGAATTTTTTCTAAGTATTCCTATTTTTATTGTCTATGATTTATGTTTGTGTTAAGTGGTGGTGTAATAGAAAATATTATTAAAATGCTTAAAGAATTAATGTTGACATGTTTTAATGTTTATGCTGGTGAGATATTGGTTATTTACCTAGTTGGGTAGTGTACGCTGGAACAGCATCCATTATATGCAAACTTGGAGTAAACATTTATAAGTTTGTTTAAGAAAGTTTTACCTGTTATATATTTGGAATGAATTCATCATAGGATACTTGCTTGGATAAATTGGTGAGAAAACTTATTTGATGTTTTAGCTTAACATTTTAATTTGCTGAATTTAAACAAGCTTTTTGTTGGAGTTTTTTAATGCAACAATAGTAATCTATGCAACTTTAGTATTGATTTTATTCTTCTTGTTTGTCTGTAAAAGTATAGAAAGTTCTTAACTTGTATATGTTATTTGGTTCCATTAATTTGGTGAAAAGAATTAGAATAGAATAAGAAAAAAAAAATGATTCACTGGATAGATTCTCTAAAAATTTAAACGAAGCTAGTTTTGTAAATTGATAGTTTTTAGTAGATTTGAAAAGGACATATTTACTTTTTTGAAAACTTTTGTAGTTTACATTTTTTCTTGGTATGAAAATAATGTTTTTTGTTTTTTTTTGTTATTCTTTCTCTTTCCAGTTTCTCATTCCCCATTTTCTCCCCAAGAAACTTTGTAAAATGTACACATTTTTCCCCTTAAAAAATAGACTTAATAATACTGTAAGATTTTTAATTTGACAGATATTCTCTTTGTGTGTGTATTTACTGTATTATGATTATTACTACAGTAAACATTTCAACTAGTTTCTAGTACCTATTTACAGAAAGAAAAAAAAGTTTTGCTTCCAATAGCAAAACTGGTGTCTAACTTTTCCAACTGTTGGCCATGTATTGATTTTACCCCCATCAGTTGAGAGTAGCAAAGGAGACTTCTCTATTGATTTTCACAACAAATCACAAAGTTTTGTATAGGAATTGTATGTCATTTTTGTTGCTATAGCAACTGTTGACAGTGGCAATATTAAAACTTTTCCAATTATAGTAATGGTTTTTTGTACACTGCTTTATCTGTTCAGGATAATTGTTTATCGGCATTTTTTTTTTTTAATTTAAAAAGAGTAGCTCGTGTAATCTGTTATGATCTATTTTCGAGTTATAAATTGTTACGCATTATTTTCAATTTCCATCATATTTTACGAATAATTATGTTTAAAGTGGCAGGTAGACTTTATAAAAGGGATATTGAAATAGCATTGTCCATTCTGTGGGTCATGGTAAATTCTATCCATTCAATATAATATATTGTAAAATGGTACTTTAATTGAATAATAAGGGGTTTTTTGTGAACAAATTTGAAGAACTATCATTTGATAAGATGTCCGGCTTTTTTTCTGGGTCAATATCAGACTTGGCTTAGGCACCTCATCCAATGTACATGTAGGTTTAACAGCTGTGTACTTGTCCATTCCGATAAGAAAACAAAATTTCCATCCCCAGGTATATTTTTACAATTTCTTGGTTAGATGGATTACTAAAAGTAAGTACATAATTTTAAGGTAATGATGCTCATCAATTGCTATCAAAATCAAATTGTGTATTTATTGAGCTATGGTCCATTGTCACTTTGAAATAGACTTTTTTAAAGGTACTGATTTGCTAGGTTTTAATAAATCTTGGCACAAATGTGTATTTCAATAAGGAAATGATTTGCATTAAATTTTAACTAAGTTCCATTTATTTTTTTTACAATGTGCTTTTGGTTCTTTGAAAATTATAGTGAAAATATATAGCCATTTGTTGTGTCCAGGAAAAAAAAATCATGAAGTGCCAAGTATTTAAATGTTTTATTAGCTTTTAATCTGAATTGATAGAATTATTATCAGTGTATTATACTTAAGTTTATGGATGAGGATGTTATGTTTCTAAATACTGTTGTGTTATATATAACCATTTGTTGGTTATATATTGACATTTTGTAAAGCAGAAATTTTCTTAGATACCTCCATTTTTTAAGATTTGCCATTTGTACATCACAATTACAAAAAATGACTAGACAATCAAATTTCTTTCAAAATATATCAATTCTATTGTTACAGTATGTAACAATATTGTTTTAAATTTAAGAAATCTTGAAAATCTTGATTCTTAAGGTCTTTAATATAAATTCTTTGTATCTGGATGTACAATGGCAGAGTTAATATACAAATTATGTTTATTCCTGTATTCAATGAATTTAATAATTTGAGCATTATTATTATTAACAGATAGCAATCTATATCATTGGTTGAAATGCTGTTGTAAATCGGTTGTATTTTCAGCTTGTAGATTACGGTATCCCCCTTGACCCTTGGCCAGAACTGTTGCCTCAGATAAAAAAGAATATCTTGCATAAACATATGATATATAATAATTTTGCATGCCTCATTACACTATATCCTATAATTGTAATTCTAAATATTAAACAAACTCTTTTTCTGATTTTCAGGTGACCAGTAAACAGTGTCTCTGACAGGATAGATAGATTGAAAGAATAAAGATGAGTACACGGGTAGGTATAATCAGATATACATATTTACTACACTATCTTTGTGGTTTAACTCTTACCCTACTAAATTTCTTAATGGACTATTAACATTTATCATTTAATCTGGTTACCAAGCATTATACCAAGACATTTCAGGGCTCTCGTTAGCATTTTGAGACTGGGGCCAGGGTCCATGCAGGGGGGGAATTTTGCATGATTTTCAAGTATTTTTCATTCAAGGGGGAATTTTTTTTTCGGTAAGACTTGAAATTGTGCGACATGTTGGAATGCTAAAAACTGTCCGGAACGTTTTATTTATATATACGTACTAATTTCCAATTGCCGTTCGCGGAATACGTACTAATTTCCGGTTGCCGTTCGCGGAATATATATTCGCCGATCGGCGTTTTCTATGCCCGTTAAATATTAATTTCAAGGGATTTAAAGGGGGATTTTTTTTAGGTTTTAGGCCCCAAATTTTACCAAATGAGAGCCCTGCATTTAGTAATTAACTTTGAAAATATATGTATACAGGATAGACTATTTTTGTGTATAAATGAATATATTGAATTTTATACTATTTAAGCATTGTGTGTTATACATGTAAGTACAAATAGTTTCTTTTATTCATATATTTTTTTCCATATAAAAGAAACGAAAGGAGAGTCGTAAGGTATTGGAGGAGAAGGAAAGATTAAGGGATATGCCAGGTATTGTCATTTGTCTTGTTTTTCTATGACTTCCTTTAATAGTTCATTTGTTTAAACAGTAATTTCTTCTGTTGTAGATAAACAAAATTAAAATGAAAATATAATGGCACCAGGTTTTAAAATTTGAGGACTGTCTGTACTCATGATTATTCAAGGTTCTAGCTTTAAAGTCAAGAAAAAGGCCTTTACCCAAAATAATGTACAGAGAAGTATAATCAAGACCTTTGGTTAAAGTGCAAGGCAATACAGACATCAAGATACAACATTAGAAGAAGTAAACTATAAGTAGTTAATATTCAAAACTCCAGCATATAAAATGAAGGGTATTAAATGCTGTATTACAAAAAGTCATAGTTTAATTTATCAGTTTTTTTCAAAGTGACTATTATAATGCAGTCAAGTATACCTTGAGTTCTGAAAAAATTTCAATCTGGCTATCAGTGTGACTTAAAATGCAATACAAAAAAACATTGAATATTGATACAAATGTACTTTATGACTGATACTTAATGATTACAGTGGCTTCTACAAGGTATAAATGTCGAGTGGATGGTTGTGACAGTAAAGGACACATCAATGGTAGATCTCAGAAACATGGAAGGTTAGTGAAAAATTCTGTTTAGTTTAAGCTCGTCTGAGCACAACATGCCTATGGGTAAGTGTTTGTGAAACTCTGTCATCTAGCCTCATCTACAGTTTTTTCTATTTCAAATTAACCTACCTTCACAGGAATGTTCCTTTTGGTGGCCCCCTTCAAAGTTGTTCAAATGGTTCCTGTCTGTTGATAAGTAGGTCACCAGGCCAACACAATAAAGATGGCAACTTCATGTGTCCCTCAGTGTACAATTGGGCACCCAAGTTCTACCACCAACATTCAGTGAGCCATCTGGATAGCTTACTAAAATGAAAGAAACCGAATTCCCTGGCAGGATTAAGACCCACAGCAGTAAGGACAAATTGTTTGAAGCAACAACTTTAAGGAGCACTAGAAATTTTTATCTAAATACTTTACCCCCTGATAAATTATCACTCAAGTTGTGAATCTCACATTACAGAACTGATTTTATAAAAAATGTTTTTGTTGATTTGCACTATAACATTTTATGGAAAGTACAATTTAGTAAACCTAAATTTGATGATTAACTTGTACTACTGTGCACTGTTTTAAAGATAAATATTATCAAAATACTAAAATTGAGTAACCTAAACAGAATAGTATCTGGTCTGATTACGAGTGGTCTGACAAAATAGTGGAATGTGGGGGTGCATCATTTTCCTATGAATAATTTTTAGTTTTTATATTTTTAAAAGATGACAGTCTAAAGACTTTGTAACTATGGATTCTTTTTGAGATGACACACTTCTATCATTAAAACTTGACGTTTAAATATTACAGTGCTGCAACTTGCCCACTTGCAAGGAAGAGAAAAATACAACATTGGGCTGATGTATTTGAACCAAGTTCTAAAGTACTTAAACAAGAGATTAAAGAAGAAGCTGATGAAGACACAGTACTGTTGAAGGAAGTGTCTGACATTCCATGTGAACTTGTTAAAGTCAAGGAGGAACCAATCACTGAGGATGATAGTGGCATGTTTAATGGACCTGAAACTATTCTTGTAAGTCCTATAAAAATAAAAGAAGAAAAAGACACTATGGATATGGATATGGGTAAAGAAAATGATATAGATGCATTAAAGAGGATTGAACAAGAGTGCGCTAGGATACAAAGTGAGAACAATGTTGGTAATGCGGAGTCAGAAATGGATACAATACTCAGTCCTGTAGCTATTCAGGAGCAGGTTCAGAATGTTATCCATGTGGATAATGTTAATGTAACAGACAAATTTGGAAACATTGTTGAGGTGGTATGTTTCAATAAAAAATCAGATGGACCGATAAATAATGAAGGAAAAGACAAGATGAATAATAATGAAGGAAAAGACAAAGAAAATACAATTTCATCAGATTTAAGAGTTCAAAGTAAAATCACAGACATTACTGTTGACAACAAAAGTGTCCAAATTATTTCTAGTCAACTAGTTAAAGGAGGACAAGAGGACATTATAAAACCAGGTACAAGTGGTATGGAAAACAAAGAATCTTCTAGTTCCCGGATTGTAGTGAAACAGGATCTCAACGATGATAGTGACGATGAAGACATGGACGATGGCGGTGAATATATGGTTCTAGCTGAATGGACTGATGGTAAACTAGAGGAGGCTGGTTCCACAACAGCTGATAAAGAAAATGATAAAGACGACAAAGATCAAGCCGGAGGAAAATGTAAGTTACTGGCACATTATTCTATATCAATTACTAACATCCAGTCCCTGCTTTTAAATTGTACAGTGTGACCATTCGATTTGTTCTGTTAATGACAAAAATATCTGAATGAATTCTACTAAGAGCATTGCAATGTCAAGCCATAACAATGCTAAGTCCAATTCCTCAATATGATTTGTATATAAAATAAACAAAGTGTTAGGCATGTTCAATATGGGAATATGTTCTGACTCATACACAGCTTAAGGAATCATATAAGACTGGCCTGGCGGCTTGTCCAGTACGTTTTTTCCAGCTGTGTACTTGTCCAAATATATTTCCGTATTGTACAGTTAAATGTTGAATAACCTTTAATTATTTGCAGATTGAGTCTACAGATTGTTGTATCAGAATTTTTGTATTGATATCATTAACAACTTATAATTAATGCTATCTTAGGATTAAGAAGTGATATTTTATGCTAATAATAAATGGATTTTTAAAACAAATCAAAATTGTTATATTCTTGCAGGGCTCTCGTTTGGTACAATATGGGGCCGAATATCGGCCCCATTCCCCCACCAAAAAAGTGTGTTTTTTTCCCCCTTGAAATCCCTTGAAATTATCTTTAACGGGCATAGAAAACTCCGATCGGCGAATGCATATTCCGCGTACGGCAACCGGAAATTAATAAGTATTCTGCGAACGGCAATCGGAAATTAGTATGTATAATTATATAAATAAAACGTTCCGGATGGGTTTTAGCATTCCAACATGTCGCGCAATTTCAAGTCGTACCGCAAAAAATAACAGAAATATTTCATGAAAGCAGGTTAATGATGTTTATTTGTTAACTGAATCTTACATTCACTTTTTTCTGTTTTTATTTGTCTGAATAAATAATAAATTTTCCTCTGTGGAAATTCCCCTTTGGATGAAAAATATTTGAAAATCATGCAAAATTCCCCCACTGCATGGACCCTGGCCCCAGTCTCAAAATGCTGACGAGAGCCCTGTGACTTGAGAAGTGTCAACAAATTGGAATTTTTGATAGATTTATTTCATCTTAATGCAATATATGTATAATGTGTTTTAATAGGAATTTCCTACATTATTTAAGTAATAATAATACAGGGCTCGACATTAACGGTTATCTGACTGCCCGGGACAACTAAAAGTTTGGTCCGGGCAAGTTATTTTGAAAAGCACTTGTCCAACAGGGCAAGTGAAAATAAAAAGCATCATTGACAAAATGCATGTACAAAATGAATAGAAATAACATCTTTCCATTTATAAACATCTTTAAAACAAAAATACACCATGAATCATTATCAATAATGTGAATATACTACGGTCATGTACATTTGTTGATATAGGAAACGGAAGCAAAAATATGAGCATGCGCCGCGGTAAGGTAATTCCCCGTTCTAATAATAGATTATATCTAATTTTGTACAAGGTAATTCCCGGGTTATGCTGTTGTTTAAATTTTGATGTTTGCATGACTTGTAAAGATATCATTGAAAATATGTAAATAATCATATTGATCTTTAAATATAATTGTTAAATAAAGTTTTTGCATTTAAAATGATTTATTGTTTAATCTAATATAACAACATTATGAACTTAGTCAACGAAGACTCGTTTACGGCTGTTGACTTGATGATTGAACGGGGAATTACCTTACCGCGGCGCATGCTCATATTTTTCCTACCGTTTCCTATATCAACAAATGTACATGACCGTAGTATATTCACATTGAATAAACAGATGAACCGATGTTTTAGAAAAACTACTAAATACAAAAAATATTTGTGTCTAACTAACAATCAATTTCATAAACAATATGTCCAGTTTAATGCCTTATGTTAACATTACCTAATACAAGAAGTATTAATGTATGAGCTTGTTTGTTTTTCTGATTTATACATTTTTACCATTTTTAGGTCAGGACAAGTAAGTCTTAGGTCAGGGCAAGTAGTTTTAAAAAAAAAAGTTTTAAAAACTACTTGCCCGACAGGACAACCTGATTCAAAAGTTAATGTCTAGGCCTGTAATAGTAATAATATATTGATGTATAGATATAAGATATATACTCAATATTTTTTAACAAATTTGTTCTGGAGAACCTCAGTTTTTTCTAAGTACAGTCAAACTTGTATTAAGCGACAGCGCAAGGGAAACACCCAAAACAGTCGCTTAATGAAACGGTCTCTTAAGACAAAGCATGATAAAAAGTCAAAATTTATACATGACATCTTTCTTTTGCGGTGGGAATGTTTTTCAACTTCATTTATATAAATGTTTAATAATTAGAACGCTCTGATAATCTAAATGGATGCTAATGTAAAAAAATAACTTTCTGATATTTATTGACAAATCAGTTTTGATGTTTGACATTTTTCCAGAATTTTTAAACTTCTCCGTTTTATTTCCTTGTCTCCAACATGAAAACCCTGATAAGTGAAGCTTTTTTCTGTTGTGCATTTTTCATTTGAAATAAACAAACTACATCTGATTGTAACGATTAATTTAATTGCTGATCAAGTTCAAGGTCAATTCAATGCAGTCTAAATATCAACAGCTAAGCGTATACACCATCTGAGTAGGGGCGGAGCGTTGCATTGTTTTATCGATATTATTGGATAATACACGTCACCTGTATACTTACCTTTATTTGCATGCACTAAAACGGTTTTTCAAATAGAGTTTTTCACACATTTATATATTGTGTTTTGATTGTTGACACTTGTGACATTACGAGGCGGCGAGTGGTTAATGAAAAGATTGATCTCAATTATCTGACTAATTAGTGGTCGTTGGTCGTGTTGAGCAAAAGTTGCTTAATACATGAAAGATATAGAGAGAAAATGAACGGGGGGAATGGAAAGTGGCCGCATAAGACAAAAGTCGCTTATTACACATGGTACTATGCTTATATATATGCCTTTAAATTTTACTTTCCTTTCCAGTTGCAAAGTGCCCTACTCCTGGCTGCAATGGTGAAGGCCACATAACCGGACTTTACACTCATCATAGAAGGTATTTTTGATTAAAAATGATCGCTTTTAAGATTTGAATATATTAAAATGATATCAAAAATCAGATTTGAAAATAGACAATTTGTAATGCAATGGAAAATGCATGTATATAGCAACTCTTTTTAGCTGGACTATTCGATAAGAATAAGTAGAGCTATTGTAGCCACCCGAGCGTCGGCGTCTGTGCCGGCGTCGGCGTAACCACTTATGTTAAAGTTTTTGTAATAGTTTAAATATTTTCAAAGTCCATTGACATATGGCTTTGAAACTTTGCACACTTGTTCATCATCATGACACCAACCTGTAGACAGGAGGAGGTAACTCTATCAAGCATTTGGCCAGAATTATGCCCCTTTTTGGACTTAGAATTTACGTTAAAGTTTTTGTAATAGTTTAAATATTTTCAAAGTCCATTGACATATGGCTTTGAAACTTTGCACACTTGTTCATCATCATGACCCCAACCTGTAGACAGGAGGAGGTAACTCTATCAAGCATTTGGCCAGAATTATGCCCCTTTTTGGACTTAGAATTTACGTTAAAGTTTTTGTAATAGTTTAAATATTTTCAAAGTCCATTGACATATGGCTTTGAAACTTTGCACACTTGTTCACCATCATGACCCCAACATGTAGACAGGAGGTGGTAACTCTATCAAGCATTTTGACAGAATTATGCACCCTTTTCGACTTAGAATTTACGTTAAAGTTTTTGTAATACCTCAAATATTTTCAAAGTCCATTGACATATGGCTTTGAAACTTTGCACACTTTTTCAACATCATGACCCCAACATGTAGACAGGAGGAGGTAACTCTATCAAGCATTTTGACAGAATTATGCCCCTTTTTAGCTCGACTATTCGTAAAATAATCGAGCTAATGCAGTCACCCATTTGTCGGCGTCGGCGTCCCTGTGGTTAAGTTTTTGTATGTAAGCTGGTATCTCCATAACTACTGAAGGGAATGGATTGAAACTTCACACACTTGTTCTCTGTGATTATCTAAGATGATTGGCACAAGTCCCATAACTCTGATTTGCTTTTTACATAATTATGCCCCTTTTTGGACTTAGAAATTCTTGGTTAAGTTTTTGTATGTAAGCTGGTATCTCCATAACTACTGAAGGGAATGGATTGAAACTTCACACACTTGTTCTCTGCGATTATCTTAGATGATTGGCACAAGTCCCATAACTCTGATTTGCTTTTTTATATAATTATGCCCCTTGTTCTACTTAGAAATTCTTGGTTAAGTTTTTGCGTGTAAGCTGGTATCTCCATAACTACTGAAGGGAATGGATTGAAACTTCACTAACTTGTTCTCTGTGATTATCTAAGATGATTAGCACAAGTCCCATAACTCTGATTTGCTTTTTTGCATAATTATGCCCCTTTTTTATCTTAGAAATTCTTGGTTAAGTTTTTGCGTGTAAGCTGGTATCTCCATAACTACTGAAGGGAATGGATTGAAACTTCACACACTTGGTCTCTGTGATTATTAAGATGATTGGCACAAGTCCCGTAACTCTGATTTACTTTTTTGCATAATTATTCCCCTTTTTCGATTCATAAATTCGTGGTTAAATTTTTGTGTGTAGGCTGGTATCTCCATAACTACTGAAGGGAATGGATTGAAACTTCACACACTTGTTCTCTGTGATTGTATTGAAACTTGAAGGGTTTGTACCTTTTCGTACAATTTTATGTATTCATATAGGTAAGCATTATTATACTCAATGAAACACCCTTGTGACAAATTTTCGAATAGTCGAGCGTTACTGTCCTCCGACAGTTCTTGTTTGACTTAGAATTTACGTTAAAGTTTTTGTAATACCTCAAATTTTTTCAAAGTTCATTGACATATGGCTTTGAAACTTTGCACACTTGTTCATCATCATGACCCCAACCTGTAGACAGGAGGAGGTAACTCTATCAAGGATTTGGCCCGAATTATGCCCCTTTTTGGACTTAGAATTTACGTTAAAGTTTTTGTTAAATTGTAATAGTTTAAATATTTTCAAAGTCCATTGACATATGGCTTTGAAACTTTGCACACTTGTTCATCATCATGACCCCAACCTGTAGACAGGAGGAGGTAACTCTATCAAGCATTTGGCCAGAATTATGCCCCTTTTTGGACTTAGAATTTACGTTAAAGTTTTTGTAATAGTTTAAATATTTTCAAAGTCCATTGACATAAGGCTTTGAAACATGTTGAAATTTTATACTCTTCTTTGAGAGCATAATAGGACTCTCTCCAAGGCCTTTAACTGTAATATGGATTTAAAGAAAAATTTTGCCTTTTTCTTTACTTAGAAAATTTTACATTTTCATCAAGGCTTTTTTTACTATCAAGCACTAAGAATAGTCGAGCGTTGCTGTCCTACCGACAGCTCTTGTTACTATTGCTAGTATAATATACAATGTACAATGATTTATTTTTAGCTTGACTATTCGATAAGAATAAGTAGAGCTATTGTGTCACCAGAGCGTCAGTGTCCACGTCGGCGTAACCACTTATGTTAAAGTTTTTGTAATACCTCAAATATTTTCAAAGTCCATTGACATATGGCTTTGAAACTTTGCTAACATGGCTAACAAACTTTCCTTTGTTAAAATTTTAAAAAAAATTATTTCCTATGAAAAAAAAATCATCTTATTTTTTTAAATTTTACAATTATAATTGCCCTTTTTTCAATGTTTTTTAATGTTTCTTTTTTTCTCTTTTTTTTTAGTTTTTCCGGATGCCCAAGGAAAATTGAGGCTTCCACAGAAAGTAAGTAAATTTTAAATTATTCGAAAAAATAGGTTAGCTCAAACTGTCATTGATTCACTACAAAGCAAAACAAACGATCTGTCTATATTAGACAACATATATTGATGATACACCAATATATTGATAATTCTTTATTTAATGTATTAATAACTTATCTGTAATTCTTTTTGATGTTTCTTGTTCATAAATGCATGATTTTTGATGATCACTTTTTTGTCATCACTGCTATTAAATATGCTTCTGCATATATGTTTTTGGTGAATTTTCATTATTTCTAGACATTCAATTATTAAGTAAAATTAAAAAATTCAAGTAAAATTAAAAAATTCTCTAAAATATGTAAAATATCATTGATACATCAATATCATTTCTGTTGCTGAAAGCTCAAAAGTTAGCAATTCATTACTATGTTTGAGAAGTTCATAAATGTTTTATGAATACTGAATGGAGAACAATTTTTGAAAAGGATACACAGAAATGAAAAGGTGTTGGAAAATTTTAACTGCAAAATTAATTGTAAAAAATAAATGTCCTTTATTAAAGTGAATGGATTTTGGGAAATAACCCCTCATTCTTCTACACCTAACACTCCCACCAATCTATTTCTATGTAAAACAACTTTAAGTAAATTAGTATTGCATAGCTCCGCCCTTGGATGTTTTTGTAATATATCATGGTGATAAAAAGATATTTAAAATCCTTTGAACTTTTGTTGTCCTTCTGAAATTCAGTTTGCTTTCACCTATGATATTTTTAGAATCATCCAGCTAGCACCTGGAACATGGTTTGGTCTAATCCAGAACCCACTCTTGTCTTAAATAATACATAGGGAGAATCTGTTGTTTTTTTTCTGCCACCAGTAAAGTCGGAAAGTTGTGATTCAACCTATATATAGTGTCAGTGTTACATTTTGACATTCAGCCAGCCTAAGTAGTTTGTTTATCTAGCCATCTGTGTTGATCTTGTGTATTTTAATAAAATAAGTTGTTCAATTAAGAAATAATGTAAGACTCAAAGGTTTTCCTGGCTATTTATCACCAGTTTGGTTTTTTTAGT